CAACCGAGTTCCGCCTGGTTTCCGCATTTATTTCAAAGTTTGTTTAAATCCCGGAGAGATGGGTGATTGTGGACATGAATAATATTGGAGGATATCCCACTTGCCATCTCATTTTTTGGTTTATAAACAAATGGTGCACGCCGTACGATGACACATCACATCAGATAACATCTTGGATACTTTATACATTTATTGTTATTCAGTAAAACCCTATACCTACTCGCTGCTTTGGAATTCGAAGCATCCAACCCGAAAAAGAAACAAACAACAAATGGTGGAGTAATGGAATGAAAACATGTCCGTGCATCTTGTAGGATTCTTCTACTGGTATGGTAATCAATGCGCTTTCATAGTGGAACATACTCAAGTGCCACTTTAGAAAAGTCTGAGCAAGACGATGGGTCGCTGAACTAATTTCTGATACAAACATCCCCTAAACTGTAGCAGACTCTAAAGATTTTCGATCCTGAATTAAAAAACCAAATAATTTCTTAAAATAAATAATCTTTCTTCAAGTAACGAAAATTCGAGTACCGGAGTACAAACTTTGAACAGTTTGCCTTTCATGAAGATTCTTGAAAATTATGATGGGACACCTGCAGTGGAACAACGGGGGGGGCATTGTCCATAAATTTCTGTGCATAACCAACCATGAACAAAGTGATTGGCAACTTTATCCACAGGATCCCCTATTTATAAGGCACGTACGTTATAATGATATTTTTTTTATGAAATTAGCTTACTTCACACCATACCAAAATCATTTGGATCATATGCATGACCAAGCATTCGGTATTTTTCAGAAGGGTACCAGACTAGCTACAAGTTCCTGGCCGACCGTAACCTTTTGAACTTGGATTGTTTTACCACTTAGTGGGAAACCCAAATGAGACGAATACGGTAATGTGCATGCCACGTGTAACACGAACCGGCTTGTGTACTATTCAAGACGATGCCCAACGTTGTCTTTGGCTTTATACACAGTTCCGAATATCAGACCAGGCCTAATGCCAGATGTGGGTCAGTGTGAATTATGATGGGGCACATTGAGACAATGGCGGGGGCACTGTCCATCGATTCCTTTGTATAACCAACCAGGAAGAAAATGATTGACAGCTTTATGTATGGGACCCCCTATTAATTATGCATGGTAAAACGATATTTTCTATAAGATTTACCTACTTTACACCGTACCAAAATCACAGCTATGACCACGCATTTGGTATTTTTCAGAAGGGCACTGCAAGAGCAAAATCTTTTTGGCCGCCACCGTGACCTTTTGTTTGTTTTTGTTGACTTACTGGAAAACCAAATGAGACGAATACCATAATGTGTTTACCACATGGTGCCGCGAGCCGGCTTTAAACACACATCGTCCGAATGTCATGCCAGGGCTAATGCCAAATGCAGGTGCGATTGTCGAATTGTTAAAGCTGAGTGTTGACAGGGATACTGAATCTCGAAACTGCTGTAGGTTTTCCACGGAACGAGCCGCAGCTACCATATTTGAGGATATGTCAGATGGGATAGGAAGGGATGATGATAATTTGAAGATTATTCGTAGTTTCCAGTAACATTTATCATTTGTTCAGGTTACCTCCATGGCCTTACCGAGAATGAAGAATCAATGTCACATTGACATAATGAAAACCACAAGACTATTCCAGCTTGATCACGAGTTGAATTACATTCTGTATCGTATTTCTCAGTATTGGAGTAACTGATACAGATTTCAACCATGTGTCCCGTCATCATAAACGTAACCTCCAACTCCTCCGAACCTGGCTCTTTATAGGCAGAAGAGCTTAAGATCGTAAGGTCCAAAGAGCTCTGGTGGTATTGGAGAGAGAGCAAGGCAGCAGGATTCTATAGACTAACGACTGAAAGCACGTGTGTTCACCCTTTCCATTTAGTTTGTACGCATGCGCTAAAATTCCGCAAAGTCGTGGTCACTTTCTGTTGCTTGTTAAAATGGCGGCGCCAGCCAGCAAAAATGCCTAGACCAAAATCCATCTGCGGAGATCTTCTGCATTGTGTAAAAGTTTGCTAAATTTATTCCAGAGAAATAAAATCAGGCTTTCAATTTTGTGATGTGCTTCTTGTTAATCACAAGTGACGTTTTGGAGAAAATGGGTCGGAAAATGTGTGTACGTTACATTTCCGAACGTAAAAAAGGGTACTCGAAAATTTGAATCGTTCTCCAGTTTTTCCACACACATACTGCTTATCTTAATAACTGAAGAAGTGTTTGAAAAATGTCACCATGTTATGCTTAAGCTAATGCGAATTGTCCTTTGTTAGTTTGATCAATTTCAATTTTGGCTCTCTAGTGTCGACCGGTCGGCCATGATTTATGTGTGCACATGTGCACGTTCATGTACATGTACTGTACACGTACATGTACTCTATCAACGCACGTATACGTATACATGCACTACTACGGACAAATGATTCTCGTGCAAAATATTCAATTCGCAATAACATGAAAACACTACCGATGTTTTTATCGGGTCTGAATACACATGGCACTTTATTTCGTTTGTTTGGATAAGCTTGAGAAGTTGTTTTAAAATTGGGAAGACCGTGGACGTATTTTCTTTCAAATCTGATCGTGTTTATTTTTTGGTAAAAATCACCTTTTCAAAATTTGCTTCAAATTTTGTGGAACTGGGTTCATTATAATACGGGGGTTAATGTTTTTGATCAATTTTTAGTGATCTGGTTATCTCTACGAACTTCTTTTGTTTGTATTTTGCTAAAAGTAAATAATGGTCTCCATCCGAAGAAAGAAATGACGGAACGATGTCCGATGTCGCCTGCCTCGAAGTCAACAGTAAAGTGATCGAGTGCGTATGTGCTTACTCCAACTAAGTGGTGCACTGGGGCATGGACGAGAACATACGTGAAAGGCTCACGGCTGGTGGCCAGTGAATCCTGGAAAGGGTACAATTGATCAGTGTCCGGGTGCCGGAACAGATCCCAGATAACTGGCGACAGGTATCATGCCTGCCCCAAGCTCCACCCGCAGGCCATTATTTTGAGCTCGAGTACACTACACTGACAACGAAAGCAGAGTTCGAATTAGGGATGAGCAGCGTGATCGATTCCGCCTTTCATTCAGAGCAGGCCTAGGACGAGGTAGTATTATAGCCCCCAGACCCTTTCCACCAACCACCTGATAAGGCGCTCCTTACAGGTCACTTCCTTGGTCTGATGCATTAGGGGGACCCTATGGGGAGACCTCGTTGCAGGGGGCCGACTGCATGGTCCATATCCGTAAAAGTCGCTGTGCATTTCCTGGAGCCGAGCAATCAAGACTTTTCCAGAAAATGACACCTGGTGAAAAGTGTGACCTCTACGCCAATTAATCTGGCTTGAGCGTTGACGATGATGACGACGATGATGTTTCGTCATCATAAGGGAGATCGCAAGAATACAGTAATTATACGTGATTTTTTTCTCAAATAGCCGGAACTTTTAACGCCCACTCCAATTAACAATTGCTTTTCGCCAACGTCAAGTTACTTCAGGGAAATAATTGCTTCCTCATATGATAATCTCTGAGCCACTCACGGAAGTTAGCGACGTCACTTCTGTTGTACAGTATTATGCATATCTTCCAAGTGTTGTACAAAAGCACTCACTTGTATTTTATAATAGTAATTTCTGATGTATTAAATATGGCATAATTATATTATTATCAGGACAGGGGAGGTCTCTCTCCCTCTTTTCATGGGGGGGTTATTGGCCCCCTCCCGAGGGGAAATACCGGGTACCCTCCTCCTACTGCATCATTACCCCGCCTCGTTTAGACTCGAATCTTCACCCTTGTCTATGGCACAAGTCAAATCGTTGTTTGAAGATGAATTCCAGAATGCGCACGTTACAACATTTACACTTCCTTCCGCAATTTAGGAATGTATTTGTTCGGCAAAAATGCATTGAGGTTCGTCTTGGTACCTTGTAAACCCCAGGAACAGAGATCTATGTCGACTGTTTATTTAGTTGGCATTCAGTATTGTAAACCATTTACCTTCTTATTATAAGGCACATGTACATGTAGAGTATACAGTGGTTCAGATTACCTTCTGCCGAGCTTCATATATTGATCATAAGACGTTTTTAGTAAATTGTTGGAAGGATTAAGCACCAATTATCACAGTAACCAAGCATCATTAACCTTCGTTTAACAGTGACTATGTTTGCATGTGGATCGTTACGGACGTGCAAAATGGAAATTGCATGATGGAACCGGACCAAACCAATCTTCCGCAAGCCACATAACCCATGAAGTGGAAACTTGTCCAAACCTGGTGACCTGTGATGTACCCGGTAGACAATACAACAGACGGATGATTAACAACATAAAAATCATAGTTTTAATTTTGTGTAATCAGCGTTTTGTGCATCGCACACAAGATATCACAGTGATTAAATTGCTCATAATGTCCAAGGTTATTACCTCTTGCAGAAGTTTAAAGGATATTGTACATTTTGGCTTGAAAAGTGATTTTTCAATGTATGGATAAGTTATGATCATTGAGGATCCAGTCGTTTAAAACTCTGCAGTTGCGCTGACGAATGCAGTCAAAATGTCGGGGGGATAGTGACAAGAGATTTCGTCTCATTAATCATAACCAGAAAATGTTTAATAAAGGAGGAAACCCTTGCAGAGAGACTCTTGAAGCTTGTACGCACTAGGTTAGTACGTGTGACACAAATAGACGATGCCCATTCATTTTATTACGGGTGCAAAAGTCACCGGAGGTCAGGGTTTCCTTATCGTTGGTGACGTACTACTTTGGTTATGGCGTAATAATCTCTGGTCCAAATTGCCAACAACGTCCGCTCTGGTGATGTTCGAAAACGTGCTTTCACGTGTGCGGCGTGCACTAACAGTGCACACAACGCCCCTGTGCGCACGAGGTCCGTGACTGGTTGAAGACATGCGCAGATAGTCGCAGCTCCACCCGGAAGTATAAAAAAGCGCTTGCACGTCGGTGTGGTGTCACACGCTATATATCACAGGCAAGATAACACGGATCTCCAGTACTTCTGACCCAAAGAGACCAGTGCAGACATATCTCCCTTGCAAACTAACGAGAAGCCCAAAAAAGTCATTCAAAGTAGGACTCTTTGTTTCAAGTTGGAAGTTGCCGTTTCCAGAAGACTTTGTTGAGTCTTTCCTCGGCGTGGATTGAGTGGATCAGTCAACGGTCACCTGGTCTCCTTTATCTATCAGAGAATTCTGCGTAACCTTACTCAAATTCGTAAGTTAACATATCTCTTTAATATTTAGAATAAAGTGTTTTGAGCGACTAAAAAGACTTTCAATCTACCAGTCATTATATGCAGGGATTAAAAGTGGGCAGTTGGGATATGGAAATTAAATAGCTTGCTCTCTCTGGTTTTAGTATCGCACATGATAATTGGCCTATCTAATGGGCAGAAAAGAATTAAGTGTAAGGAGAAGAAGCGTTTAAATGCATGTACCACCTTCACCAAATGTATCCAAAAGACGGCTGGCAAGTTCGCAGGTGCATGAAAAGTCAAAGACGTTCATATTAGTTATGTCCGTGAACATGCATTCTACACCGAGTGATATTTATCAATGAAACTTTGCATCGAAATTACCTGAGCAGTTCAAACTATGATTATGGGTGAAAGACTTGACAATGGCTGATAGACGAGTAAGACGAGACTTCTTCCACTTTCATGGCCTCGTGCTTTAGTGGCGACTGTATAACCAAGTATTCCAGGTGCAGCCCAAGTTTCCGTGTTTATAAGCGATTCTGATTTACCAGAACAGAACTCAAGAAATGTAAACAGTAAGACATTATATACCGGTCACATTCAGGTGTGAATGGGGATTCGATGAAGGACAGCGACTCCGACCTCGGACTGGAGTAAAGCTGAAATATAATCTACTCCCTGACAGTAGCTCATACAGGTATTGGGTCAGGGGAAGATTTGACTTTTTTCCAATAATGCCTTCAATTTTTTCATCCCTCAAAAATCGTCATTACCCACAGAAAGGTGGAAGTGTATCGTTTCTCTAAGATGCTGATGCTTTTAAATTCTCCTTAAAATTTCGTGTCTCCGCTTGATGCGCCACTGATCCCTGGCATAGGGATTCTGTGGTCCTTTTTTCACATGATTCCAAATCTCGATCAGCAATCCGTCGTTGGTTCATTGACATCAGAACCTGCCTCTTGGATGGAGCCAACCACCGATGGGGTCACTGATCGAGATCCAGATCCGGAAACCAGCAGGCTCATATAGTGCCCGACGCAAGACAGGCATTTAATAATACAATACCATGCTCGCTGTAATGTTGGAGATCCAGGTATCATAACTCTGAAAACACACAGATGCCAAATACTATGCATGGACTCTGTGGTTAAAGCATTAATAAGTAACGCAGGAAGTCGAAGGCCGCTGACTGCGAATGAACGGCATCAATTTACTAAACCTTGCTTCGCCTTGATCTTGCAGAAGCAATTTCTGCAGAACGGAAATGTGACCTAATTCAAAGGCATCAGACATGAATTCAAAAGCTGATAAAACAGCACGCATCAGCAATGTTTACAGCCAGCAACATAATTTCATAGCCATTCAATTTCATAGATTTTACATTCTACAACGTGATTCTCCAGAGTACATTCTGCACTAGATGCAAACTGATTCAACGACAATAGTAAAGGCCGAATCTTTTGTCAAACACAAGAGAACGAGGCGAAAGGTTTCACTGAATGACATCAGTTTTCACCTAATGACTTTGGATTCAGTGATACCAGTTAGGAATATCAAGCAGTTTCAAAGGCTTTTATTATAGAGGGCAGGAGGTCGTAAGTTTGATTCCCACCATAGCAAGTTGTGGATCTTTTCTCTGAAGACAATAGGAATCCCTATGTGTAACGTAAATTTTTCATCAATACCATAGGTTATTAGAACATTTGGAAGGCATTTGACGAAATTCAGAAGTTCATAATACATTCAGAAGTGTGCAATTTCAAAACTATAATGAAGGACGACAGAGGTCGTTTTATAAAAGCTGCTCATAAAACCTTCAATGCAGAAATGCCATCGAAGAGATAAGCTTTGAAATGGTTTATACAATATCATCACTCAGTTCGGTAACCCATCGTCTTGCAAGAAGTTCTCACCCATTTATTGCTTTCTTCTTTAAGGCCCTCTCATAATATCCGCGCACACGTGCCACATAACGAATGATAACGAAAGCGGTTGGACCTTGGAGGAGTAACGAGTGGGGGTTGCTCTTTGGGGGTGGGGTTCTAGCACAATGATTCAAACAACAGGGTCAAAAGAGAATTCTAGGGTCAGTATCTTGTGGAGTGTTCTCCAACCCCCTCTGTCATCCCTTGTCGCACAAAGCTATCAATTATTCCTCACAAGAATGGTTAAGTCTCCATTGGTCACCTCTTTTCCAGCGCTGTTTCCATCCTGGTGTCCGGAACTTAGTGTGATAAAATCTACAACAGGCATGCCAAATCACTCCGGAAAGATATTATGTGCATTAGCGAAATAACTTTATCAAGTTTCCCGCTTTTAAGAACCGATAGCTTGACTGATACTCATCGCTAGAGGTATCATCATTCACAGTGAAGTCGCGTGCGCCCACGTACGAGAGATCAATTTGAAAATTCTGGATCGAGCGAGATTTACCAGCCAAACACTAATGCACATTTTAGATTAGCGATACTCAGGCAGCTCCACTGCTTTCAATGAACCGTTTCCATACCTATCATACTTCGAAAGTATCGGCGTATCCTTTCCTGCGATGCGTTACTTCGAACATTGGAAATTGTTGTTACAGTTTCAGGTTAGCGTTGTTGTTTCAACGTTTCGGCCAGACCCAGTTGGCTCGAACCAGTTTCTTGTCATCGTGGTCCATTATGCGGGACTAATTAACCTAATTGCTCCTCTTCCAATTACACTGAAGACAAGGTCAATCTCGATATTCGATGGACAGCGGTTAGCCTTAAGTGAGGATTTCACTCTAATGAAATTATCCGTCGCAGCTGCCTCTCCAACCTCTAGAAAGCAGCTCGCGACTGTCTTGCCAACTGGCAGACAGTATAAAAATAAATGTAAATATTCATGGCCTATTAGTGATACCAATTAACGCCGGAAGACCATTCAAACTCTTTGTCTGCCTGACAGGACAAAAACCTCTCCCTCTTTTTTTCTTAGCTTTTCAAGACTGATGTACTTCCCGGCATCAACCGCGTGCCTTTATCGTTTTCCTATCGACAATTGAAATAACTTTTGGCCACTCGTACGCAAATGAGTTTGGAGAGGTCGTCAGAGGTTGGGGCTTCAGAATCGACAGCATTACACTTCAGAAAGCGTGATGTAGATGTTGAATGTCAAATCTAAACAAGCATACGACACTTAGGCTCTCTCGAAATTATCTATTCTTTACCATTTAAAATCGTGTTGGCACTTCCTCACAAATAGCATCTCCAGACATTGCGAGTCTTTCCTGTTTCTAGTAAGAATTCACTAGTTAACAATTGACACGGAAGTAGGGTCCTGACAGAATGGGAGAGATTTTTGCCTGGCCGCTAAACCCAACTCTGTGCGCTTCTTTCTTTCTTTACCATGTTTAGAACATGAAGATGATGATACTCGTATACGTGTACCAGCCGAGCCTTTCACACAGATTAGTATGCTGTGACAATATTGATATGAGGACAGAGTTACTTGGGCGGGTATTCAACATTTCAAGTAAAAACAAACATTATCTTTTTCTCTAGTTTTCGATTAAATTTTTCTGGCCGTTGGTATAACGACATTGCGATGGTATGCTTATTGACCACCGTGAGTTTACCATCACTGAATGCAGTCAATTTATCAAAAGAACCAGATATTTTGGTAGTCGTAGAAACTGTTTTGCAGACAAACGGTGCGTTTTAACCAGGTTTTGTTTTGTTTCTTTAGTGCATCCATGACGACAATTTGAGACGGATATATTGAAATAAATTTAGCACAGAATCATTATTTAGCACACGCTCCGTGCAAAAATTAGTTCACTTTTATGAAAATCAACCATGGCACTGCCATTAACTGTATGGTTGTCACAGTATATTTTCCAGATAACTGAAAATAGCTTTAATGATATAAATTCTTCCAACTGGAAAAGACCAATCACTCAGTGATATTTGTTCAAGCACTTGGTTGTTCATTTATTTGCGTGTTTAAATCAGGATGTGGTCTGTTTTTTTTAATATATCAAAACCAATCTCAAATGTAACATTCCCGTCAAATTAAGGCAGGAAGATCACATTGATATTTTCTTCAAGGCCCAAGCAACGCATGGACAATAAAACACTTCCCACACAGGGACTGAAATGGGCTTGTTGATCTCTCCACAGCATTCTAGGTTGCACAGATGAAAATGTACAATCGCAACGATGCGAACGGAGAAACTGTCAGTCAATGTTCTTTTCTTGTAGACCCATTAGCTTGTTTTTGTACCAAGGCGTCCTGACCGTGACGAGTTCTGTTATTACTCGGGCTGGGCGTAGAATACCATACTCATCCGTGGGAGGAGATGTGTTTTTCTTCTGATGAATGTGGCTTCTTGGTAACATTACTGCACATGTGCTTGCCATTTCGGTATGACGCAAATTTTGTTCCTACCGCTGACCAAGCGTGTGAGCTGCACGCAATTTATCCCCACATGTTGTTAAACTGCCAAATACTGTCGTCAATACAGGACACTTGTCAAACCTTACGATGTGATTCTGAAAGTGTCCGTTGTAGTTGAATAGACGTTCCATTTCTTATCATCCCCTTGCCATATTTTATAAGCCGTAATAATTTTCGCCCTTTTGTTATTGTGAATAACGTGATTAAGAAATGACGTCAACCTGATGTCATTGTCAGTTAGTGGTGTCGACTTCAATTTGTGCTATCCTCGCTTGCTCCTCCAGACTGTTCCAATTACGTTGCTATGGATCAACCCTCCATGGCTACTAGGCGTCGTTTTGCCCGACACACAATTTTGCCCTTAATCAAAGTATATTGATAACGTACAGTTGGTATGTGTAACAATAAACGAGAATATTGAATGAGATAGGGGCTTATTATGGTGAGTTGGGGTTATTGAGATCGCACAGAGTGAGTTACTGATGCGGTTATTCCTAATAGACAACAAACTGGGAAAATCTTTGGTTGCATAGTGCCCTACAACTTTGCTATAACTAAATCATTGATGTTACACAATGGTCCCTAGCCAGTCTGA